AGAGCATGTTTATCGGTAATATAAACCAGGTATCAAGGGCTTTTTAAGGTTAAAAAATTAATTGTGGGTATTAAAGTGGTGAGAAACGGATCAGTAAGCTGAGACTGTTCATAGCGGACACGTGGCGTCGTATAATTGGATCGATCTGTTTAGAAAAAAAAAAAATTTACGATTTTCTTGTTCTTCTCTCTGCATCGACGGCGATAATGGCGATGATCCTCTCTTTTCTCTCTTCTTCGTTCGTCGGCGATTCGGGGGTCCGTGGTTGCAAACGAAGGACTCAGAAAAGAATACGATACTCTCTCTCTCTGTTGCTTTTTCTCTTCGAATCGATCACTCGATGTCTTCGAACGAAGAATCTCTTTAGGCATTCACTTTGTCCGGTTTGGATGATGTCGAGAACTACGGTCTTGTGAGTGATTTAAGATTATTGGATTAGTTCTTCTTTTATGTTTCGAAGGAGTGTTTGTGAATAATGCATGTTCTAGTTTTGGATTGTTGATTAATTTTCAGTAATGTTTTTTTTGGGGCTGTTTACAATGTTTGATTATGTGAATTTTGTTTGTTGTTGAATTTTTCAGGTCACTGAAGACAATTCGTCACCTATAGACATACACAATCAAGTTTTTCAGCTTGTACGGAAACCAAGCATTCAAAGAGTCTCGATTTGAAGAGGTGAAAAAGCTTATAATGGTTTTTTGTTGCTCTTGCTTGCTTCTTTATTTAGGAATTGCCTGAGAACTGATTTGGTCTCTGCTTTCTTGTAACTTCTTAATGCAATTTGGTTATGGAATGGTTTCTTGGTGAACATGATAATGATAGAAGCAGGAGTCGAAGACCCTTATTGGACACCTCCTCCTTGTTGGAAGCTTGGTGATAATCCTACTCAAGATCATGTCTACGCTGGAGAAATACGTGATACTCAAGATCGTATCAGGAAATCTACGCGGATCTGCTGAAGAAGAAATACAAAATTGAGGACCAGCTAGTGATAATTGCAGAGACCTTGCATCAAATGGAGGTAAGATATATCGACAGATTGAGATTCTGAACACACAAACAGTTTTGCTAGTTCTAGCTGAACTATTATGGAAATGGAAAAGCTTCTTTAAAATTTGCTATGATTGGTAACTGTAGTAGTTAGAACAGGTATCTAGCAAATAGCAAGGAAACTCCCTTGGAAATTACCAGTGAATGCCATGTAGTAAGAAGGATTCAAATGATACATAGTGTAGAGACCTTTAATGAAACAGGGGAGTAGTATACATGACATTTTCATAATGAATAAGGATAAGCATCTTCACATGGCTACTTGTTTTATTCTCAACAAAGATAGAAACGACTGTCTTTTTCATTTTTTTTTATAAGGGACCGTGAAATATAGACACATGATTAGGAATAGGACACTTAAGCATTAATATTACTTGTCATTTGTCTTACTTAGGCAAAAAAACACGAGTATTACCTGAAAGAAACCACCCTTGCAGGCGGAAGAATGGAACGAGTAGGCAGGCGAGGGACACCTGAATCGGTAAGTGCCATAGCACTTGTAAAGTAATAATTATTAGTTTCCTCCATTGAATTTGCAAGAATCTGTTTTGGTACTTTGAGTTATGTATGTCCTTAAACTTGAACAAACATGCAAAGCTCGTTTATACTCATGAAGATAACCTGGTTTAAAAAGAAATGAAGTAGGCACTTCTTCTTTTTCTCTTTGAATACGGTTTTGGAAACTGGGCAAGCAACAATCCTTTTGGCTATGGTTCTTCACCAACATAACAAGAAAGCTTGTAATTTACGTTTACAATTTTATGCAACCTATTAAATTAGTCTTTTTTATATAATCTTCAA